GGTTACGAGGTCGGTCAAATTGACCAACCTTGTATAGAGTTAGGGTAGAGAAAATAACATATAAAGTTTAAAGTTTTACTGAAAACAAACATTTGAAATGAATTTAGGAGGTTTTAGGGGATTATACAAAGGAAATTTGAGATTTTTGGGATGAAGAAAAGTATTTTTAATCTTAACATGAAAATCACTTTGCACACGGACTATTCAAAATAAATACTCAATATATTCATGGACAAATTTTTATTTGAGTTTATTAAAAATATGAGTTTTTGTATGTGAAAGACTTATAATGTTAACTGAAAGACTGCCAAATTTTGTGAAGATATACATACTATATCAAAAGTTAGTTGTATTAAATGTATAGAGTACAAAGAGGTCACATGGTCGGCCAAATTGACCATGTCCGTGTTGAGAGTTAAACAGGAATATTCTAATTACATATACTAATATATTTAGTTCCTCATTTTCATGAAGTTCTTCTCAAAGATAGATATCATAAAGCTAGCTAAGAAAAATAAAGATGTTTTATATGATCCCAAAAAAAAAATTATTCTGATTATTACGTGTTCTTTAATGGCTAAATGTTTACAAGCTAGTCCTAATTCAGTTTATTTTACTTAATAATGTTACTGTATTTGATCCTTTGTTATAGTACATCCATAGTCATTTTTAGGTTAAACTTTTAATTGCTTTTGTGTTAGAACATGTAAATAGAAATAGTTTCTCCCAATATTTTCAATCTGTCTGAGTAAAAATGTATCAAAATTAGTAAACTTGCTCTCAGGAAAGGCAGCAGAATGCATAAAATTTAATTTGAACCCAAGGGCTACTGGCGTCCGTAAGGAAACCCTGGACCCCAGCAGTAATGGGTGAACCTATGGTGGACATTTACTTGCTTTGCTTGGTCAAGTAAACTTTGGCCCTCCACATTTTAGAATAAATATTTTATTATTCTGTAGCTTCAGTATCAGAATCTGGTAATATTGTCTTGTAGTATTGTCTGGCTAAATGTTTACAAGCTAGTCCTAATTCAGTTTAAATAGATGAATGACCACAAGTTTATTATTGTGGATGAATGACCACAAGTTTATTTTCTATGAATTTTTAAGTTCAGTTGTGCAATTATGTTTCAGTGCAGGATGAACCCATCTCATTTTTCACATCTAGTTTTTCTTGCTATGATTGTACTCGTAGAAAGAAGCTTTATAAGTGAATATTAATGGAGATGGCTTGATTTGAAATTTTTGGACATAATGTTTATCTGTTCATTTGTTTTCTAATTTTCTTTTTTTTCTGATGGTCCTCCTCAGGTACCTCTGGCTCATTTGGATTGTCTGTCGCAATCATCTTGGTCAGTGAGGTGTGGTGATTGTTAGGATTTCTTGTGATCTCTAACCATCCAAGTATTTTATCAAGTGTAGTGGCAGCACATTAAAAACCTTACACTGTCCTCATTTCTGGGTGGTTGTGGGTTATGTTTATATTTCTTTTTTGTTTTGTTCCAGTTTGATTTTCTTTTAAAGCTGTGCAACATAATATCATTTGACTATCTCACACTTGTAAGAATTTCACATTAACTAAAATTAGTGGGTGACCACCTTTTGGAAGACTTCCAGTCGTTCCTCTCCTAATCTTCAAACCTTCCATTTTTCCGGAGTCACTATATTTTAACCATATTTGATGTAGAGATAAAAGCAGTATAGAAGTTTGTTATTTTTATCTCAGTTTATTACCATCCTTCCATTAACCTTTCAAACATATCCTATGTGTATCTGTATATTTATCTTTCCCACCTGTCTGTCCGGTGTACTTATCTATATTATGTTACTACTTATCTATATTTCTGTTGTTGATGAGATTAGACTTGAAAGTGTTTGTTTGTAGAAGAGATTAGAAAAATCTTAATTTCTTCTTTTCTTCAGGAAGATTATGGTAATGCCTCGTACAAATCAAGGTCAAGATAGACAACCAACAAAAAGTGTGGGTTTCTTTCTTCAGTGTAATGGTGAATCAGAATCCTCGTAAGTTATGAAAGTGACCTAAAACTTGTAGAGGAAATTATTCTGAGTATTACATGTTCTTTAATGGCTAAATGTTTACAAGCTAGTCCTAATTCAGTTTAAATTATTCTGATTATTACATGTTCTTTAATGGCTAAATGTTTACAAGCTAGTCCTAATTCAGTTTAAATTATTCTGAGTATTACATGTTCTTTAATGGCTAAATGTTTACAAGCTAGTCCTAATTCAGTTTAAATTATTCTGAGTATTACATGTTCTTTAATGGCTAAATGTTTACAAGCTAGTCCTAATTCAGTTTAAATTATTCTGATTATTACATGTTCTTTAATGATAATAAGCTTGTGGTCATTCATCTAGATAATAAGCTTGTGGTCATTCATCCA